ACTTTGATTTTGACATTAACTCTATACAGATCTGAAAAAATTTGCCACTGGAAGATGTTGATAAAACTAAAAGAAAAATAAGGTGTCATCAAATAAAATAAAAAAAGGTATTAAACTTATAGTATAGCTTTAAAGAATGAGTAGAAACATCTAATAAAAAAATACTTATTTAACTTACCAACTGCATGAGGTGACGATAAAGCTAAAGTTAAAAAAGATGTAATATAAAAAAAAAATACAGATTTTTGGCAACAAATCCAATAAAACAATTTTGTAATGAACAAAGAAAAGTACTGTGTAAATAACAAATAAAATAAAGGCCTAAATAACGAAAATTAGGTGTTACTTAAAAAAGTCTTGAATAGGTTTTAAATAATCAATGATTTTTAAAAGTTTAACAAAAAAATATTTGTAAAAGCAATAAACAATAGCATTATTATGAAAAAACATATGAGCTTACTAACTGTTTGATTACCCAGTTCATTTATATCATTTATTTTTTAAATTACTAACAACCTAAGTGAAACAATATTCAATAAATATTTTTAAAGAAAAAAAAAACCTCTCCCCCCAGCCCTACCTCGGCTATTTTTGAAAACAGATATTAGGTACCAAAAGTGTTTAACTGATTTAACTAATTGCTACATATTATTTTTTCATAAAATTTGGCAGATGCAAGGGAAATGCATGTAGAAACTTATTTAAAAAATCAAAAAAGCGGAATATAGATTTCTTCAACAATAATTTAACAAGTAAACATCAACATAATTTTCATGAGCAAAATAGTTAAAAAAAGGTATGACAACCATATCAAAAATAACACAAAAAACAAGCCCAACTCTTCTTCTTTCCAAAAATATACTATGAGTTTATATATTTCTGAAAAAAAAACCCAACAAAAAATCGCTTGCCTAACCCTACTCAAAAAAATTAGACAGGAAATCCTCTAAAAAAAATTGGAAAATCAGAAACTAGGTACCAAAGGGCTAAACTGATTTAACTATCTGCTACATAATATTTTTCAATAAAATTTGGTATGTGCAAAGAAAATGCATGTAAAAACTTATTTAAAGAATCAAAAAAGCGGAATAAAGAGTCCTTTGACAAGAATTTGACAAGTAAACACCAATCTATTTTTCATGAGCAAAATGCTCCAAAAAATGGTAGACAACCGTACATAAAAACAACATAAAAAACAAGCTTAACTCTTCTTCTTTTCAAAAATATACTATGTTTATATATGTTTCTGAAAAGAAACTTCTCAAAAATACGTTTGCCTTAGGCTACCTAAAAAAAACGTCAAAAAAACGAGTCACAGAATAGAATAGCACAAAATTTGGCTCCGTAAATCGCTATTTCCGCGTACCGAATATATATATATATATATATATATATATATATATATATATATATATATATATATATATATATATATATATATATATATATATACACACATATATATCCTTATAGTGTAGTCGAAAGAGACTTTTATGATAAAAAAAGTCTCCTTCGACTACAATTTTTTTACCTTGTCTCTTAAGCTGCATTTTATTGTCGTCGAAATGTCAAAGTAATGAAATTAATGCGGAAGTACATTAAATTTTATTGTTTTTAAAAAAACAACAAAATTTATATATAATATATCAGGCGCGGATGCAGCATTTTTTGATGTTTGCATTACCTAACTTCCAGACATGGAGCAAACTCCAAAAATTTATATGTTTATACTTATATCAAATAAGGATGCTTAGTAAAATATTGCGATGATTGGAATCTGGGAACAAAAAAGCCCTAAAATATTAGCTACACCTCCCCCAAACGTGAGAGCAACAAGTTGATAAAATAATTTTTATACTATTCTCAACCAAGTACATATTCATCGATAAATTTTAAAGCTCACACAATAATCTTTTAGCGTTCAACAATTATGGCCTCATAAAATTTGCAGCCCCCTCAAACTGAGAGGGGTTCAAACTTTTTATGGTCATAGTTTTTTGAATGCTAAAAGATTATTGTGTAAATTTTAAAATTTATCGATGAATACAGATTTAGTTAAGAATAGTATAAAAATTATTTTATCAACTTGTTGCTCTCACGTTTGGGGCAGGTGTAGCTAAAATTTTAGGGCTTTTTTGTTCCAAGCTCCAAATGGTGCAATTTTTTGCAAAGCATCTTTGTTTGATATAAGTATAAATATATTAATTTTTCGAGAAAAATGCTGCATCCGCGCCTGTATAAAATGTATTTTGGCATATATATATATATATATATATATATATATATATATATATATATATATATATATATATATATATATATATATATATATATATATATATATATATATATATATATATATATATATATATATATATATATATATATATATATATATATATATATATATATATATATATATATATATATGCCAAAATACAAGTTTTCATTTCTTTCCCTTTGTCATCAAATCATGCCTAATTTATTATTAGGCATGATTTGATGACAAAGGGAAAGAAATGAAAACATGTATTTTGAGAAAATAACTGCACCGTTTTAGAATTACACAGGATCATAAACAAAATTTTACCACGTTGTGCCTGTCGTTTTTAGCGCGTGCGCTTAAAAATGTAGACAAAGCAAGACGTCTATCGTTCTTTAGTTAGTTATGAGATCTAGTTTCAAATGAGAGAGTAAAGCCTTTGATATGACGCTATGTCTGGCGCTAAATTATTTCTTTACGCCTCTATTTTGACTGGTTATAAAAATAGGTCTTATAATTTAAGAAAAGTAAGTTTAACTAAAGTTTAAAAAGTTTTGCTAAAATCACTTACATTCAAAGCTATTTTTAATCTAAGTCATTCCAAAACCTATAAGTTTTCTGATTAATCTCTAATGATCTTGACCCTGATGATTGTATATTTATTTACGCCTATTTCTATGACTATTTCAGTTTTGAATTTAAATTGCAAGGTCCTGAAAAATATATATTTATTAAAAAAATCTTTTAATATTATTAGAAGATTCAGACCATTATTAGTAATAATGGTCTGAAGCTGAGATCATATCACAATAAAATAAATCAAAAAAAAAACATTAAAAACGATTCTGTGTAGATAAGGCTTAGTGAAATTTCATTTAGCTCCAGTTATACAGAATCTTATTTGTTAACAACCAAATTGCACAACAACATAAAAAAAAGACACTTAGCAGTAAGCATAAAATAACAAAATACACAGTATAAAATTATTCGAGCAGCATTTAAAGGAGTAATAACAGAAGAAAAATGCCAAAGAACAATAAATAAATGATAAAAAAAAAAAAAAAAAGAAAAAAAAAAGAAAACAGTTCAGCTAAGTAGAAGCAAAATAATAAAAAAGATTTTTATAAATTATGATATAAAGATGAAACACAGTGAAAAAAATTTGTTAAGTGATTTTTCACTAATTTACTATTGCTCTGTTCTTTTAGGAAAATTAAGCACTATATATATATATATATATATATATATATATATATATATATATATATATATATATATATATATATATATATATATATATATATATATATATATATATATATATATATATATATATATATATATATATATTTATATATATATATATATATATATATATATATATATATATATATATATATATATTTATATATATATATATATATATATATATATATATATATAGTATATATAAATATATATATATATATATATATATATATATATATATATATATATATATATATATATATATATATATATATATATATATATATATATATATATATATATATATATATATATATATATATATATAGTCACTCCCCTCTTCCCTAATACTACCCTGATTAAAATACACTATATATATATATATATATATATATATATATATATAAATATATATATATATATATATAAATATATATAAATATATATATATATATATATATATATATATATATAATATATATATATATATATATATATATATATATATATATATATATATATATATATATATATATAGTGTATTTTAATCAGGGTAGTATTAGGGAAGAGGGGAGTGACTAACTCCTCTAGGAAAATTTTATTCAAAAATTAATCTGCAAATTTGGATACTGGAGTCGGCAAATTTGAATTTTTAGGTGGCAATAAGCAAATGTCAGCCAATGAGGCCTGAGTAAAATATTTTTGTGCCCATAGTCGGCAAAACTCCTTTTTTTCACCCACTGTTTAAAATCTTTTTGCAACAGCCTCGATTTTAATAAAAAATTTTAGAAAAGTTAAAAATAACATCTTAAAAATATTACTTTTCAAAAACAATACTTGTAAAGAATGCCAATGATTGGTTAGTGGAAAAATGTACATGTTTTATTTGTTTTTAATCAGTTAAAACTTTTTAAAAATTTTAATTGATTTTTTTTTTTAATTTTCTTAAATTAAAAATTTAAAAAAATTAAAAGTCTTTTTGAGTTATATAGTTATCATAGCTTTTATCAACAATTAATTACTTACAAAAATAAGTATATAAATTTTTATAAAATTATTCTTTTAAATTTATATACTTTTATATTCTCAAGGAAAGTATAAGTATTCACTAGAAATTTAGTGCCTTAGAAGCCTTGGGGTCTGGGTAAATATTACCCATTATACCCACCTTCCGCCAGACCTGTATACACATTATGTTAATAAAAGCCATGTTATTTTAGGTTAGTGTTTTTTTAATAAATGGCATTAGAAAACAGTTTAGATAAGCATGAGGTGTTTAAAATATTTGAATCTCAAATGATTTTCATAGTTGTCTCAAACTTAAAATTCAGTTTATAACTTGATTTGATTGATTGAAGTACATAAAAAGTTAAAAAAACACCATCAATTAATTGTTTTGTCAACCTATTTATTGCTAAATTTAGAATAGCATATACAAATGTTATGCAATATGCAATAATATATGGAAATATTATTGTATCATTTTTAGAGTGATTATTTCAGCCCCTCTTTACACTGGAAAGTCAGCTACTGGTGTAGTATTTAGCTGTAATCCCGATGACACTAATCAATGTTTAAAACTAAATATTGAAACTGAAACTCTAACAGATCCAGGTAAGATTTTTTTGTTGCAAAGTAGTTGTATTATTTTGAAACATATTAAAACTGTTTGTTATATATATATATATATATATATATATATATATATATATATATATATATATATATATATATATATATATATATATATATATATATATATATCAGATTAATTAATCCAAGCACAGAATTTTTTAAACATGTTTTTTAGTAACTTTTTTTACATTAAAAATTATTTAGCTAAAAAGTATGTATATGCAAGAAAAATATATGCAGGGGGAGTAAGGGCATATTGATCCATTGGTTATATAGTTATATAATGTATTACATAAACATAGCATACAATAGGTGAGTAATTCACATGCAAAAAGTTTGTCATAAGAAATGAATACTATGAATGTTCTTTAAGTGTATATATAGCAAATTATGGCAATTATGTAAAACGTTTTGTAATATTTGTACTTTTAATTAAATTTTTTTATAAATTATTTGAAAGCAATCATATGGGTGTATTTGTGCGCATTGATATGTGTCAATGAGCAACAAAGATCAAAAGATATAGCAAATTTTTAAAAGGAACAAAAAGAATATTGTTTTCTTTGTTCCTTTATAAACTGTTATGCATAATTGTAGAGTTTAGTTCTAAAAGTACTTAAGTCACAAAATAGATGTTTTGAGAAAATATACTTTGATCAGTCATTTTAAATTCTTATTTTAAAGTGTTATATCTCTGATCAAAGTAAATTCTCAAAACAATTTTTTTGTTACTTAAATACTTTTAGCACTAAGCTCTTTAATTCCATATCTCAGAAACCAATTGAGAAAACTTATAAATCTATAATTATATATTCAGACTTAAATTACAGCATTCAGAATAATTTGATTTAGAATTTTCTGATAATATCATGGCTGATCGTGCTCAGACTACTCTATCTTTAGTAAATAATCATTGGGCAAATGAATGAATGGCAAAATAAATGACTTCATGTTTTCCTTATTGAAAGCAAGACAACTAAAACCTCTGTTTTTCTTAAAAATAACAGCAATGTTTTAGTTAATGTTTTTGAAATTGTGTTATAGTTGTCTAATCATGTAATCTAGAAGCGTAAAGATATTCTCTTTAACTTTAAAAATAACTTGTTTTCACAAGTTTATTTTAAGTTAAACATTTTTTTAACTTCACTTTTTTTAAAAAAACTTATTAATACTGACTCTGAACCAAATGTATGATAGAAGTATAATCTAATGGTATACAAAAACATTTTCTAATAAATCTATTTGTTTCAAATAAGAGGGTAAGATAAACAACAAACTCATTCTAATAGTTTTACTATTAATATTACATTGTTGTTTTGATTTTTACATTATTGTTTTCGATTTTTTTTTAAACTTTAAAGTAAAAATATATCAATGTGTTCCAACTCTGCTTAGCATATGTAATTTTGTAGTTATTCAAATTTGTATTGTTTTAATTTTAAAGAAAATCTGCAAAAATGATTAATTTTAGAAACAATATCTGGTTGAAGTATAAATTTTAAAAATCTAGGTTTCTCATGAAGAAAGGATTTTTTTTAGATATTGTGTTAAGTCAAAAAAGTAACCAATGGATGGGCTTTTCTATGTCACAAGCTGGAGATATGTTAATGAGTTGTGCTCCTCTATGGCATGAGAGTAGAACTGGTAGAAATGGAATAAATCTTTGGTATAGAGGGCGATGCTCTTTAATAGATAAAGATTTAAATAATATCTACACATATTCAGCATGTGTGAATGGTAATAATGCTTTTTAATTAATTTTTTTAAATCTCAATTTCTATTTGCAATTGTTATTAAATTTCCTATTAAAAACTTTGCTTGCATACTTTTAAAAGCAATAAATCATTGACGAAATTGATTGAAATGTGGTTCAATTGTGAAAATATTACTTAATGAAATAATTTTTAAAATTGTTTACGATTAATTTTGAAGTTTATTTTTTTTTGTTCTGTTTTTTAAAAAAATATTATATTTACTTTCCTTAATTATTTTGATGGTTTTCCTTTAAAGTAATCTAAATTATATATATATATATATATATATATATATATATATATATATATATATATATATATATATATATATATATATATATATATATATATATATATATATATATATATATATATATATATATATATATATATATATATATATATATATTTATATATACAGTCAGCAAAATTCAGGTCAACGCAAAAGCCGATTTATCTTTGTTTTAGGATGGCATACAACTGCCGGCCTGAATATCCTAAAGTGTCGGCATGTAAATTAAAATACATGTAAAAAGTATATAATATTAGTTAAATATTATTTTATAATTTTTTTATCGTAATTACTCGCTTTTCAAGTTTGATATGTTTTATTAAAACAAAAATTAATTCATTTTTTTTTCAATTCATTTTTTCTTTTTTCTCAAATTTATTCAAGTATAGCAAGGTTAGAAAATATTACTTTTTAAATGCCTGTTGTTCTCATGCTTTTTTAAGTGCAATAATTGTTTTATTAAGTTATAAAATATAATTTTAATTTATTTTATAAGTTAAAACCATTTAACTAATAAAATAATTTACATGTTTACGGTTTTTTAAATATTATTTAAGATCAGACAGTATTTTAGGTTAGAAAGTTTAGCCTTGGTATAGTTATGTTAACACATGTGGAGAAGAAACATTAGCAACAAAATTTTATTTTAATTTGATAGAAGTTAAGGCTTCCATTAAATTGCAACAGGTGCATTAGTAATACAGTAAGTATGCTCAAAACAAGTCATAATGCCTAACAGAACTGTCATTGAAAAATGGGGGTTTAAATTCTGTGGATTTCAAACTGATAATTCAGGTGAAGTAATTTTAATATAAAAACTCTGAATAGTCTCGCAAGTGTAAAACTTGCCGAGAGTATTCAGAGCTTTTAAAAAATTGTCATAATAAAAATAAAGGCTGTGCTGAATTAGCAACAGAAACATTTGTACGGGGAACAGTTTTAAAAAAAATATAACTTGATGATGATTGGACAGAAAAATCTGATAAGGAGAAAATTATGAATATACATTAATACGACAATCACCATTGCGCGGAAACAGTGTTTGTATATAAGAAAAAAAAAACTATTTTTAGTATTTTTAACTTTTGTTTTCCCTCCATCAATTACATATAGTTACAAGTTCATACTATACTACAATTTAATATTAAAAAACACCACCCCTACTACTTTAGAATTTAATGCTTATTTCTAGTAGAGGTTAAACAACCGGATGTAAATTGTCTACTCATTTTGTTAAACCATTTGCCGTTTTAAACAAATTTTTTGCCTACAGCACATAAACTAAATTTGTATTTCTTAACGACATTATTTCTATGAGCAATATAAAAAACCAATTAAAATGTAATAAATAAACTATGACCATTTTTTAAAAAAAAAAACAATAACTTCGAAACTAAAAAATCGCTAATTCATAAGTTTGATATATACTTAATTGACTACACAAAATTTAATTGCTACATTCTTTAAAATATTATTGTTTGAAGATATTCTATTATAAAGCAATCCTTTTATAATTAATTAATCATTGCCCCTATCGTAACAGAAAGCAAAAAATCAAATTTTATTTTGCCAACCTGACATCGGCTAAGGTCGGCATAAGCGTGCCAACCTGAAATCCTTTGAATTTCGCTGACTATATATATATATATATATATATATATATATATATATATATATATATATATATATATATATATATATATATATATATATATATATATATATATATATATATATATATATATATATATATATATATTAAGCATTTGCTCACTTTTTTTTGCTTACCTTAACCCATACGGCTTTTTTAGAAAAAGAAGAAAAAAAACGAAGAATGATGAATGAAACGGTTGCTGCCCCATCCCAAACCCTCAGTGGATGTAGCAGCACTCCACTGTGAGTCAGGCTATTTGTCAGTTGATGTATGTACTAATGGCCCCAGCAGTAGGCTATTTCAGTATGATGTCAGATTGCTTACCTTAGTACGCAATACTATTTGTATATATATATATATATATATATATATATATATATATATATATATATATATATATATATATATATATATATATATATAGTCAAAAAGTGTCTTCCATAAACTGTAGTTTTAAATTGTTAATAACTAGACCAGAAAAAGTTTAATAACTTGAACAAAGTTTTTTTTTTTTAATGATAGATTTGAAATGATAGATTGCTTGCCTAAATCGAACCCTCAGTTGTTGTAGCAGCACTTCTTTGTAACAGCAGGCTATAAAAAAGTCAATGTTGCTAAATTCCTTTGTATCAGCAGGCTATAAGATAGTCGATGTAACAGCACTTCCTTGTAGCAGCAGGCTATAAGATAGTCATATGTGATATAACCAATTATAAGTTCTCAAGTTGGTTAAAAAGTTGTTTTTTACCATTAGACATAAGCAAAGGAGTGTAGAAATATATACATTTTGTATAGGAGAAGACACTCAATATGCAGCTGAAATTTAAGAAACTTTAGTTTTGAGTACCATAAAATCATTTTTCTATAAAATTGTATCATATGCAAAATGTCTGTCCCAATATACCAAATCAATCAGTTGCACAGTTACCATAGCAATCAGTTGCAGTGTTTAAGTAATACCACTATTTTTACTTAGTATCATTATTTTTTATACTCATGATTTTTTATTTATTTTTAATAAAACATTGTTTACAGTAGTAGTAAAAAATTTTTATTTTATTTTTATTTCATTGGTTTTAAAACTAGTGTTTATAAACTGGGTGTATAACTGCAGTAGTGTGCTGGCTCACAAAAAGCCTGTGTGGTATTTTACCATATATGCAAAATAAAATATGAAAGGTCATACTATTTCATTTAAATAGTATTTGCATTCATACAAAATTTTAAAAGCACAAATTTAACTCTTTTTTTTTCTTTCGTTGTTTAAAGTAATTTACTTGTAAAAAGGTTTCACAAAATAAACTAATCATTTTTTTTAAAGTTATCTTTTCACTAAAAACTTTTAAAAATATAATTTCTGCCTGCTTTCTTATAAAAATTTAGTTAAGTATTAAAAATTGACGCATGCTAAAAGAAAAAAAAAGTAAATTTTATTTTAAAAAGAAAGTCAACTTTTTGGTAGCACATATTTTCATAATAAAATACTATAAATGATTTTGTTAACAAAAAAACACAAAATATTTTCAAAAATATTTAGGTTATAAAATGACCTAAATTTTTTAAACAAATTATCTCTAAAAATAAAATCTCAAAAAAATATTTTTGGTACTATTGTTAAGCTGCGGTTCTACAGTCAGATCTTAACAGAGGTTCACCAGATCTTTTTTCCTTAGCTGTGTTTTATTGATTATCAATATTATGTTCTCAGTCATTGAGATGCCTATTGATAGAAATTTAATAAATAAAAAAGTAACAAGCCCGTCACTGTTTTTTTTTTTTTTTTTTTTTTTATAGCAGATTACAATTTTACAATAAGAATTTATAAATGATAAACATTAATTGTTAACTCTAAACAAAGATTTTTTTTTCTACCTTTATCCTTGCTATCAAATATTGAAGTAAGGGTTATGTATAAAAATAGTCATTGCAAAATAAACTTATTAAGACCTATTTTTTACGGGTCTGGACAGCTAATATTTATAATTGTTTTATATGCATTCATATATATACACACATGTATTTATATGTGTATATATATGTATATATATATATATATATATGTATATATATATATATATATATACACATATATATATATATATATATATATATATACATATATATATATAAAGTATTTTATTATTGCAGATCATAATAAAGTTTGAATAATTTTATATTTTTTAATATCTGATTTTAGAGCCAACAGGAAATGTCCAATACGGATATTGTGAGTCAGGATTTAGCAGTGGGGGATACATTGGTGGAAATACTCCAACATTCTATGTGGGAGCTCCTGGTTCCATCAATTCTATCGGTAGCATAAACATTTTTTTTATATTTTTTGACATCAAAATACTGTTACAATAAAGAAAACTTAAATTTAATAATTAATTTTTAAACTTTTTTTGAGGTTTCCATAGATTTGTAAGAGCACCATGTTTAAACTGGTGCATCTTAAAATGTTATGGATATTAAAAAATTATTCCAAATTGTTTTTGAGCAAGTCATTTTATAAATACTTTAACATTTCAAGTGTTTCATAGTAAATGTTTTTTTTGAAGAGATTTTTGTTAAAAGTTTGTATTGCAACGCATTCATTTTAAATATAAAAAGCAATTTTTTATATTAAAATTTTTTGTTTTTTAGGTGTACTTTTTGCTTTTATTGGAGGGTCTGTTAATGCTTCTCCAATAAAGTTAAAAACTGGAACTGATCAATTGATTGATGAAAGCTCATTAATGGGTAAATTATATAAATATTCAAAAGCATGGATTTGTTGTGTATTTCAAAACTACAGTAAACATTAGTTGTTAATATTCATTAAATCTTTGTTTAGTTAATCCACAGCCCCCATAATACTTTTAACATTATCTTTTTACCAAATTGTCAAGTTAGCATTTTTCATTAAAATCTTTTGTCTTAAGCTGTCTTATTAAAAAAAATTTAAATCTTCTAAGTTAATAATTGCAATTTTTTTAATTGTGTGTTAATTAATTATCTTACTCAATCAACTTCATCTTTTCTCTTCCTGTCTCTCCCAACTCTAATAGTGGTTGCTTGCAGCCTTGTTGTAAGTGAAGATATTGAAAAAATATATATATATATTTCCAATAAAATATTTTATGTCATCTGTAATAAAACAGGTAACAAAGCTGGAGAAGTATTAGCTTGTTTAACAGCTGTATATATATATATATATATATATATATATATATATATATATATATATATATATATATATATATATATGCCATTTCTTATTTAATACAATTCAAAAACTCTTTGTCCTTTATTTCTTACTGTTGTTGAAGTTTTTGATATCATTTCTGCTAATTCTTCAGCTTTAGTTTTTTATCTTATTGGTTCAACATCACAAGTAGATTTGATATCAGACTCAGGTACTGCTTCGGCTTCTTCATGCAGAAACAAACATTTGAAAGCATCTCGAGCTAATTTAGCAATTTCATTTTTATTTGCGTATTTTAAAAAATTACCTGGTAACTCTGAATCTGATTTAAAGTCATCTGGATAGATGTAAAAGCAAAGTAAACAGCATAGTAAACCAGCAATAACATAGTTTTTTCTTTCAGCAATTCTCTCAGAGACTATATTTAATAATTTTTGACCAATTTTTGTTTAAAATAATTTAATCAGATTTTATTAGATAACAGTCTCCCTTTCCCAATGCCATAACACTTAACTCTACAACATTAGGAGTCTGAACAATATCAGAAATGTGTTTTATTTCTTCTTCTGATAATCAAATCTGTTCTGATATATCTTCAAGAGCCTTTCCGATAAAATTTTCTAATTCTAAAAATCGTTTTAACGTACTGATTAGAGAATTCTATCTTGTTTTAGTATCCAAAATAGGCTTAAGCTCTTTTCCCAAATCTGATCTACAAATGTTTTGAAAGGCATGATTTTTAAGTGGTGATTTTCTAAACAGCTTGACAATTTTACGAACCTTTGATATAATAATACCATAGTCCTCATTAAATTGCATTTCTTTATCAACAAAGCTGATTCTTTCCTCATTCCAGCATTCTTCATTTTCATTTTCATCATCAGGGTCGGAACAAGATTCATCATTTTCATTTAGCTTTTCCATAAATAGTTCTTCTACAGTTGTTTCTATTGCTGAACCTTTTTTCTTATAAAGATTTCTTATATTACATACCGCAAGAATATCACAATATTGAATTCCATAGCAATAGGAAAGTTGGCGGGCAACTCCCATTTCTTGTCCCATTTTTTTTATGACTGATACCGTCTAGTTCCAAATACCTTCTAGTTCAACCAGAAGTCCACTCATCAAGAGAAATTGAAAACCTTTCTCCAGTTATTTTTCTTTGCTGAAGCTCTTGAGCAATTTTTAATTTTATTGAATTTGCGTAGTTCATAACAGTTGCCTTTATAGCGTGTCAGTCATATGTGGATTTTAAGTCCTTGAGCTTTCCAGCCATTTTTAATATCTTTACTATTGGCCAAAGTTGCAAATGAAATACGATCTACAGCTGTTAAACAAGCTAATACTTCTCCAGCTTTGTTACCTGCAGGAACACTTGGCTGTGTATTTTTTGCCTTTTTTGAAATAATTTTGGTTGGTAAAATTTTCTGTGTGTGCTCTAAATGATATACAAAACTTGAAGTTGATGAATGGAATTTAATATCAAGTGAACAATGTTTGCATTTGTATGAGTGTTTTGCTTTGTTTTCCAAAGAAAAATGCTTCCAAACATCAGAATGACTTCTTCCAGATGACATTGTAAATGGCGTTCAGCCTTCTCTACGAATGTGTCATATTATTTGTTTACATTTACATGGGGAGATAATATGATTTGTAAAGAACTGATTTTTTATTTGCTTAGTCTGTTATTTGGTAATAAGCTGACTATGGAGTGAACAATCATGATTGCCTTTTTTAAGTTCTTTATCTAGGACAATTTATTTTAGGATAAAGAATTCAAATTTATATGTAATATGCATATCTTGTAATACACCTTTTGCTCTCTGTGCTTGGTTAGCTTGATTTATTGTTCATTTTAATAGCATATTAATGGTGGTAAATTTTATATTTTTGATTGAGTGCTTTTGCATCAGTTGCAAATTCTAGTTTTAGTTGAAATAAACTGAAACTTTTTCCCACAATATAAGATATGATATAAGAATATATTTATAAACTTTAAGTATGAGGTATGATATAAGGATATAGTAATAAACTTTAACTTTGAAATACATTTTTGAAATTAATGTTTATTTCCTATTGCTGATTCTACTTGTACTTTAGACTTTGTTTTAAAGAAATTATTTTTATTTGTAATTTAGGATATTCTATTGCAGTTGGTAACTTCACCAATAACCAATATGGAGGTGATTTTTAAACCTTTATATCTAAAAAGTACATAGTTTATTTTTAATTTTAAAAGTTGGTTTTATTTGTTACACAGATGTTGTTGGTGGAGCACCAAGAGCTAATAATCTGAAGGGAATAGTAAGTTTTATAAGATTGCTTTTGGTTTTTACCTTTTGTTACATTTAATTTAGATGTATTTTTGTATTTAGGTAATACTATACACAATAGGAGATACAGGTTTCACTCTTACACAGAGTTATCCTAATCCTGATGGACAGGTGAATAATTTTATTTTTAAAGAATGCTAGTATTATTACAACTATTTAGTTTATAAAAATTTTCTATTTAAAATTGTTTTGATAAATAAATTAATATTAACTAAATGAAAGACTAAAAAAAATTAAATTAGAATATTCTATAATATGATAAAAAGTATAAATGCATGTAAATTTTTCTTCTATTTTTTTTAAATAAGTAACTTTTATCAAGGTATACATTATTGTATTTAATATTATTATATACTAGCTGGCAGGACCTGTATGATATGGGTTATGGTAAGTCTATTCCACACCAACTTTATCTAAACTTGTTCTTAATTTAGACTCTTTACTTTAATAAGTAAATGGCAGAAAATTAACTAATTTAAAATTCATGGCTTTTGGTTAGCGAATAATTTGCTATACTTTAAAACTTCTTATTTTAAACTTCAATTAATTGACTTTTTTTGTTCTTTTCCACATACCTAAAGCTTGTTACAACTCTCACCCCGTTAATTTATTTTAAAAGAAAATGTTTGAATGTATTATTTCCATACTAAATTGTCTCTACTTCATTAGATGCACAGGTTTACCAATTAGATACATAAGGGATTGTCCTTAAAATATGCAACGCTAAATATAACTAATAAAACAAAAACAAAAAATCAAAAGTTTTCCCACACAGAAACTTAAGTTAAATAAAAGATTAAAACAGCACATTAAGTTAAGTATTTTTACCATATGACAAAATATGGACTTATCACATTCACCCTCCTACACGTTTATCCGGTTTTAATTAAAAGTAAATCAAGATTTTAAATCAAGAGGAGCTTTTGCTAAAGTAATAAAAAGCAAACATAAAATATTTACTAGTTTATATAAATATATAAATTAAATATGATTTAAGTATATATATGTATTTCAAGTATATGTAATTAAGCAGAGCATCAGTTGTTAAAAAATATTTTTGTTGTGTTTTATTGGTAAATAAATTTTTTTTATCTTAAAAAAAAAAAATTATTTACCAACAAAACACAACAAAAATTCTTATTTTCAAAGATGAACAATAAAGTATATTTTTAAAACAAATTAATATCATTTACAATTACAATATATACAAAATAACAAAATAAAGTATAAAAAGGTTTAATAAATAGATTAACTAACTGCAAAAATACTAATTGTAGGTATGCCTATTTTGCCCTCTGAAAGAGCTACTCCTTCAAAATTGAGAGTCAGTCTTTGTCTTCATTTTTATCCCTTCATTTGTTCTACAGTATGTTAAAAAAGCGCCATAAGATCTAAATCTAAAGTGAATAAAATAAATATAAAATAAAATCTAAAGTGAATAAAAAACAATTATGTTATTTAAGTATAAAAGGAGTTAAGATATCAGATATAAACACTGCAAATTTACCTGTTGCTGTTGTTACTGATAATGACATGATTAGTGTTCAAACATCAATCAATTATAAAACTTGGTATGAAATATATGATCCTTGTCATTAAAAACATTTAAAAAAATCTAATTTTATAAGTTTTAAAATTATAAACTGTAAAATTATAAACAATAAAAATTATAAACTGACATGCATTTCAAACATTTTAATTATTTATTGTTGCAAAATAAGACATTTATCTATTTATATATTCTAGACTATTATTTGTGATAACTTTTTGTGCTATAATAAGTCTTTGTTCTAATATGTTAAAGCAGAAGAAATAAATAATATGTATATTAGGGTGTGTCGATTTTTTTTTTTTTTAATTTCAAAAACAGCAAGGTTACTTTTCATGGAGATTCCAAACCTGCAATAAAAAAATTTTAAAAAAATAATGTCTTGCTAGGTGGGTCAGCGTTGTTTTGAACGGAAAATGACTAAAATGTGACTAATTAGCAGGGCAAAACAATAATTCAAAAAAAAAAATTTCTCAAATTTTTGATTAATTCCTTATTTTTATGTTGAGTTTTAAGAAAATTGATTATTTGGTTCAAAAAGTCACAAAAATAAACAGAGAAAAGAAGTTTTTGTGAAGGGTATTTTTACAAAAATCAGGCACTTTTTTCATATTTCAAAGAATGTTATGGTAAAATGTGTTGTTTTTTTCTTGTTTTTATCAAGCTTTAAAAGTAAAGGGAGTTCATTTTTGTGGGGAATGTGATAGGGAATTTGAATCTAAAAAAATAAATAAAAATAAAATATGTTTTGTTGATGGCAACAAAAAAATGACTGAAATATGAATAATTATAGAGAAAAAATTATAAATCAAAAAAAAAAAAATTTTTTTAATTATTTGATAAACTCGATATAAACTATGTTGAACTTTATGAAAATATCATATTTTGTTAAAAAGTCAAAAAAATAAATACATAATGGGGGTTTTTGTAAAGGTTGCTATAAGAAAAATTAGTCAACTTTTTCATATTTTAGACAGTTATTGTAGGGTGAGCTGTCTTTTTTAAAACTAATAATAAATCAAACACTTTTGTTATAACAAACAGTATATTATATACTAATACATTTTATAATATATATTGTATAATACTGACATCTTTATTAAAATTTAGAATTATTTAAAAATTAATAGCTTATAAATTTTATTTGTGAGTCTAACTAAATTGTGAGTCCAACTAAGTTATATTTAGCATTATTTTGTGCTCATAAAAAATTTCTTGTGCTCTTATATATCCTACTTGCTTCTCATGGGAATAAGTTTTTGCAAAAGGAATTCTATTGGAATAAATTATGCCGAGTTCCCTCTAATGCAAACATGCAAACAAAAACTTTGAAAAAGTAACTTTAGGTGAAACACATTGTTTTGCCTGACAAATTCTTAATGATCTTTTGGCTGATCAGGCTTATGAAGATAGAATTGTAACAACAATAAGATCTGGAGTGTTACCTGAAAATTTAATAAACCTTAAAATAGGTCCTGTTTCCCATTCCAGATAGCCCTCTACAGCCAACCATTTTTGTAGATTGTGGGTTTCAATTCATTTTCTAACAGAAAAAAAGCTCAGAAATCTATGTTTAATTATTGAATTTATAGTTGGTGTGTATTTTCCTTGCTGGTTTCAAATAAAGGTTCCTGGTTAGATGGACCTCGGCATATTTTATTTCAATTGAAACAACTAAAATATCCAAAAAAAAAAGGAGGTTGTTGCAATAAAATAAAAACTGTAAAGAGATCTGCACGGATTGCATTTAGTGAATGCATTATTCAGACTCTTTTGTGTTCCGAAGATGAAGAAGAATGAAAGTTAGGAGTGCAAAAGGTGCTAGAGAGGAAGAAGATGATAATACTCAGTTTGGAGAGTTTCAGTAAAAATTGGTAAAACCCCATGCATAAATACTGATGCTGATAAATTGACCAATCTAATTGAGTAGAAAGATTCAATATATGAACCACAACATACCACAAGCCTCACAAACCATGAAGTCATAAATTATTTTCACAAACCTATTGTTCCAGATTGGCTTGCAATGAGCAGGTTTTTAATGGAAATTTTTCAATGACTAAATTGTTTTTGATGTTTGATATAAGTTACAGAGGCTTGTGCACTTTACTGTAACATTCTTTGTCTAAAACATGAAAAAAGGGCCTGATTTTTGTAAAAATACCCTTCACAAAAACTTCTTTTCTATGTTTATTTTTATGACTTTTTGAACCAAATAATCAATTTTCTTAAAACTCAATATAACAATTATTGAGTTAATCAAAAATTTGAGAATTTTTTTTTTTTGTTTTTTGAATTATTGTTTTGCCCTGTTAATTAGTCACATTTTAGTCATTTTTCCATTCAAAACAACGATGACCCACCTAGCAAGACATTATTTTTTAAATTTGTTTTTTGCAGATTTGGATTCTCCATGAAATTCTTCACCAAAAAAAATCAACACACCCTAATTTATATATATATATATATATATATATATATATATATATATATATATATATATATATATATATATATATATATATATATATATATATATATATATATATATATATATATATATATATATATATATATATATATATATTTATATATATATATATATATATATATATATACATATATATATATAAACACACACACATATATATAAAGGAAAAAAGCTTATCTGAATTAATAAAGAATATCTGAATTTTAGGAGCAATTTAAAGAATAAAGAGATTTTTATTTTATTAAGGAGTTTTATAAAGGAGTTAGGATAATTTTATGAATAAGGATCACTATAATCAATATAAACTGTAAAAGTTAATTTCTAAAAGAATCATTAGACTAAACTTAACTAAAAACAAAAATTAAGACTTCTTAACAACTTAGTCACTAATTAAACAAATGTTATTTTAAAACACCCCATAAGTAACTGTTTAAATTCATCACATTAAGATATATACAATGTATATAACTGATTAAAAAGATAAATTTTAAATTTAAATATACAATTTGTGATAAGCTGTGCCACTTAAATTAAAAATACAAATTAAAATTATGTTAATAGTTTTAAACATTTTGTACAAAAAAAATTGTTTAATTAAAAACAAAAAAAAGCATTTGTTTTGTTTTGTTGTTATTATGTTTTTATAAGCTTTTATTGTGTTGCGGTTTCTTACAACTAATCAACAAACACTTCTAAAAACCAAATCCACTTCATAAACTGTTTAACTGCAACCAGGGGTGTGGAGTCGTAAAAAAAAAAGTAACGACTCCGACTCCAGTTGTTGAAATTTTTTGAGTACAACTCTGACTCCAACTACAAAGCAAAGTTTTTAAAAAATTCTTTGAATTCTTTAAAAAATATTGCATGATAAGTTGAAATTTTTTTTTTGATAAATTTATGCAACGTTCTTTGAGGTTTAGTATGAACATAAGGTTAATTGAATGTTTTGTACATACACGTGCAATACCAAGAAATATTACTATCGGAGTCGAAGTCGGAGCAATATTTTTTAGCAACTCCAACTCCACTAAAATTGTCGTAACTCCGACTCCAACTCTGACTCCACAGCCCCGACTGCAACACAATAAAAGTCAGCTCAGCTTTACAAGTAACATAGTAAAAATTATAAAAAATTACAACAATAAAATTATTTTGATGAACCCAACTGCCGTTTTTAACTTGTAATTATAAATTAAACGAAACCTGCCCTATGAAAGGAGATTGCAGAAAAATAAATGTAATTTATAAGTGCATTGCATCATTCCCAAACACACCCGACAAAACATATGTAGGTTCAACAGAGGGCGTGTGGAAAGTTAGATGGGCGAACCACAAGCAATTGTTCAAAACAAGAAACTTAAAAACTCAACAGCGCTTTCAAAATACCAATGGGATACAAAGGATAAGTTAATAACAACACCCAATTTAACATGGTCCATCATTAAAAGCGTCCCTGCCTACAACAACATAACTAAAATATATATACATATATATTTTAGTTATGTTGTAGTTGTTTTAGTTATGTTGTTATTTATTTATATATATATATATATATATATATATATATATATATATATATATATATATATATATATATATATATATATATATATATATATATATATATATATATATATTGCTAACATAAATCTAAAATACACATGGTAAATAAATTTACACTCTCATATGTCAATTTGGAAGTTTAAAAGAATTACTAAGGATTGAAATTAGATTCTATATAGTGTTATGATCAAAGAATGATTTGTTGGTTTAGTGTTATTGAAGTCAATTTAAGTTCATACACATTTAGCACATCAGAGCCTAAAATGAAAACTACATAATGTATTTCAATTGATAGAAACAGTCATAGAATGTTTTACAAAACATATTCAAATTTTTTTTAAATAACTTTCCTTAAATTTCAATATTATTTATTTAAAATACTAAAAAAATGCTGAAATAAAATTTTCAGCATCATTCATCAGGAATGCATCCGTGTAATCTTTATTTCTTCTAGCCTACATCATATAACTTGTTGTTACAATAAAATGAACCTCATAAAAAAAGCTAAACACCCAAAATCTCTTGACTTTGTGCAACACCAATGATTTTTAAAACGTATTGTGGTTATTTGGACAACCTTACACACAAAAAAAATATACACAATAAATATAATAGGTATAAACAATAATATATAATATAAATGTCGATATATAATATAAATATAGACATATAATATAAACACATATATACATATTAAAATGTAGAATCGCATAATGCAATATCATTTACAATATAATAAACAAAGAAAACAAAAAGATAGACAAGTATCTTATCATATTCAATAAACAAATATAGGCAAATTATATTGGTAAAAACTGTCAAAATTTATAACAATGAAAGTTAAGTTTTTTTTTGATAATTTTTTGAAAGAGCGATATATCTTTGAAGTTATAGTTTATACGTTTCTGAAATAAAAGTTTAAATGTTTTTTCAAGTTTTTTTGTAAAATTATAAGTAACTAAAAGTATTAAAATAAGAATAAAAATATAAACTGGGGTGTTTATATATATATATATATATATATATATATATATATATATATATATATATATATATATATATATATATATATATATATATATATATATATATATATATATATATTTATATATATATATATATGTATATATATTATATATACATATATATAAATATATATAAAAATATATATATATATATACATATATATATATATATTTATATATATATATATATATATATATATATATATATATTTTTTTTTTTTTTATTTAATTCACCTCCTCAAGGCCGAGAAGGCCACTACAGACGAGGAGGCTACTTATTTGTGGTTATAACCCTCTCTCAACTCTATAACTCTGAAACACGAACCTTAATAAACAAGGCCGCTGCGCGGAGAAACGAGTTGAGCATGGTACTACCAGTGACGTGGTGGGGATCGAACTTAGAACCACTCGTTTATGAAGCAAGCGCTTTACACTACACCACTACCGCATATTATATATATATATATATATATATATATATATATATATATATATATATATATATATATATATATATATATATATATATATATATATATATATATATATATATATATATATATATATATATATACTAGGGTGGGTCATAAAGTTTTTTTTTCTTGTTACAGGCTCTAAAAATAGCTAGAAAGTTGTTTTCTATGTACTAATTTAAGAAAGTATATACTTTTATGGATTGAACAATGTCTTCCACCAGCAACTATAATTACAAAAATTAGCAGGCCCTATTATTATTCAAAAAAAAAGTTTTTAAAATTATGTGATGTAGGTACTCAAATAAAGCGAAATTTTATAAAAATTTTAAAAAATTTTTCATATAAAAATTATTATTTAAGATTTTATTGCATAATAACTATAGTTTTTTAACTAAAAGTGAAAAAGGTGCATTTTAACATGTTTTTTAATAACATTTTTTTTCAGCAATATGATTTTTTAATTTTTTAATTTTTTATAAAATTTTGCTTCTTTTGAGTACCAGGTTGACCTACTTTTGAAAAACTTTTTTTCTCCAAAATATTAGGGTACCGGTAATTTTCCCAATAAAAGTTGCGCCCTTTAAATCTATCACAATTATTCTCATATTTGATAGTATCAATATTAATAACTATTAGCAATGTTTAGAGCCTGTAACAAGAAAAATTTTTTTTTTGACCGACCCTTACATATATATATATATATATATATATATATATATATATATATATATATATATATATATATATGTATATATATATATATATATATATATATATATATATATATATATATATATATATATATATATATATATATATATATATATAATATATATATATATATATATATATATATGTATTTCAAATAAAATAAAAAAGTGCAATATTACCTGTCTATTACATGCTATGCAATAAAATTCTCAAGGAGCTAAATAGACCCAAAATAAAAATTAAATGTAAAATACAAATTTTTCATACAAATTATCAAATAAGTTGTAAAACAATTATGCTTTTAAGAGGCATGTTTGTTAACATCATACATTCAAAGAATTAAAAATGCTAATTATAATATTGAAATAATTTATATAATGTAAATATTACTGCAAGTGTGTGTGTTATATATATATATATATATATATATATATATATATATATATATATATATATATATATATATATATATATATATATATAAATATATATATATTTATTTATTTACATATATATATATATATATATAAATATATATATATATATGTATGAATTTATATATATATATATATATATATATATATATTCATATATATATATATATACATATATATATATATATATATATATATATATATATATATATATATATGTAACATTATATATATATATATATATATATATATATATATATATATATATATATATATATATATATATATATATATATATATATATATATAATGTTGCTGACTCATACCAAACCCTCAGTGGATGTAGCAGCACTCCACAGCGAGTCAGGCTATTTGTCAGTCAATGTATGTACTGAAGCCCCCCAGCAGCAGGCTATTTGACATTAGGTGAGTATGACATCATCATGCTCACCTAACTCAGCAGTATAAGATATATATATATATATATATGTATATATATATATATATATATATATATATATATATATATATATATATATATATATATATATCTTCATACATATATATATATATATATTCATACACATATATATATATTCATACATATATATATATTTATATATATAATCATATATTAAGGTGGGATCATATTTTGGTGGTGCTGTATGTGCAGTGGATCTTAATAATGATGGGTAAGACATTTGACATTTATGGTGTTTTTAAAGTTTTGAAAAACAAATGAATAAGAAGTGAGCATCACTTAAACTATACAGTTTTTTATAAAGAATGTTTTAAGATATTTTTAGTTATCGAGTTTTTTATCAACTTACTCCTAAAAGTAAGCAAAACTATTAAAAACAAATCAAAAAGTGACTTACACTAAGTTATATGTTTACTTAAATACATTATATGCGTTACTTAAAAATTGCTTTAAATTTAATAACTACATAAGAAATTAAAGTAAACTTAATAGAAAACAATAATAATAGTTTGAATAATTTGTGTATTGTTTTTACTTTTGTTTTTCTTAGTTTTTTGGCAACAATAATAATAAATATTCAGTAATTTGCATATAAACAAATGCAAAAAAATATACCCCAAAAATACAGTAACTCATAAAGTATTCCAAAATCATTATATTTCCAAGTTTCTTTTGAGCTAATTAATATTGTTCTTGCTAAATCTCACTTACTATCCAGGGACTAAAAATTTCATTATATGTTTTTTTCTTATAAAAACGTAACTTTGGAAAGATCAAAAGTGCCAAGAAGCTCACTTTTTTTTTTATACATTTTTTCATTACTAAGAACTATTTTTCTATTTAGCATAAATGTTCATTTTTTTTTAAATAGAATTTTTGCAAGTATTATATCTTTTCCTGCAGGCACCATATCTGAACCTTTTTAAAAGTACAAAAAACAAAATAATAATAAAAGGAAAATTAATGAATAAAAGATATTAATTTTTGCAGTAGTAAATATTCTTTATAAATACTGCTTGCCTAAACTTAGATCTCCAATCAGTGTATGTACTAGTCCCTACTGATTTATATATATATATATATATATATATATATATATATATATATATATATATATATATATATATATATATATATATATATATATATATAAATGGAAAAAATACGATTTTTCATGGTACTGGAAGTTTCATGCCATTCAGCAATCATACAGGCATACTATTTAAAGTCATTATGATAAAAAATGTTACAAAAATACAAATTTGCGCTGCAACAAGATCAAACTGCAGTTTTCACATCAAAAAAAAATTTATTTAACTGTTATCGAAATGCTATAGTAAAAACGTTTTTCTATGTCTACATGCCGAAACCATTTCACACCGCATTAACAAACCAGATTGCCCTAAAATATTTAAAAATAACTAGTTTAGGATATCCAAAATAAATTAAAACAATGTTTCCTCAATTCAATAATGGAAATAAATCTATACATATGCCAATAAGATGTCAAATTTATACAAACTTTCTAAAGATGAATACAATAAATTGATGATAAACGCTGCTACAGTTTCAACAATAAAAGATCAGATTAATAAGAAAGGATTAATTATATTAAAAAATCACAATATTTTCATCAAAATCCATACAAACAAATCTTCAAACTGTTTCATCACATTGGAAAATCATAAACCTAACTTTTTCAATTATCCGGTTTGTCTAATAAACCCAGTAAATAACAAAATAAGAAGAATAAATGAACACATTTTATTTAATATAAACACCAAGCCAAGAAATATTTTATGCCGAAACCAGTGGAGTAACACATGGTTCAAGAATATCAAAGATAGACATTTTTATAAATTCCTCATTTTTGACATTAATAGATTTTATCCTTCTATAAATGAGAGCAGTATATTACCATCATTAATGAGCACAAATCTATGATTTATCACACATGTAAATCACTATTATTTAATGATAAAAATTTTTGAATAGAAAAATCAGGCAATTTATTTGATGTCACCATGGGAGCATTTGATAGTGAGTGAGTTGGTTGGAATTTTCCTTCTTTTCCAAATTTCTCAGTTTTATAACAAGTTTGATTTTGGGCTGTATAAAGTAGATGGTTTAGCAGTGATTCAAAATGCTAGTGATCCACAAATAGAAAAAGCTAAGAAACATAACTGATATTCAAAAGTAACAGCCATAATATTTGTATTCAATGCAACATGAAAATAGTGAGTTATCTTGATATTATATTAAAATTTGGTGACTGCATATGCCTGCCTGATTGTAGCAATATTCAAACTTAAAAATATACTCAATCTTTTTCAAATATATATTCAATCGTTATTGAATATATTCAATCTTTTTTAAATATATTCAATTTTCAGGATATATTCAATATCCTGGGGAGAACACCGCCAAACAGCGGTAATTTGAACGAAACATTTTGTCAACAAAACATGATATAAATAATTATTTATAGAAAAAATGTGTATGTAGCTGTAGTTTCTTTTTTTATATATACGGCATGGATAGTTATAGCAAAGTTGCTTCTTTGTTAAAGGGATTACCAGAGTCCCGAGACATGTGTTCATATTAAAGAGAATGTTAAAAAAAAACGTCTAAGCAAATTTTTTTTGATTAAAACTAATTAATAAATTTATACCAAGAAAAACAAATCTTGTTGTTTTAGTCGATGCTCATCTTCTCCATTTTCTGCGGTATTTTGAGTATGTAAAATAAACGTGATTTTCCAGGCGCATTATACAGACTTGATAATTTATTCAAGCACGTTTAATTCATAGGAGTTTTAGTGCATGACATCATTGGAAACATTTTAGAAATTCTTTAAAAATTTTACTATTAAATTTTACTAAAATAGCTAACTATAGTTACTTATTTTGTTAAAAGTTTATTTTATTAATTGTTCGTTAGTTTTTTATAAATCTAACGAACAATTAATTTAACCAAGCACTAAGAAAAGATATAAAAATTAAGAATATACTAATAAAATATATAATTTGTAATTAACTTTCAAAATTTAGACAATTTAAAAAATATATATTATAAAACATTTATTTTTGTAAACAAATGATAATAGTTTAAAAGATTTACGGCTTTACAGATGTGGTTCAGAGAATGAGCCATAGTATTAAAGTAATAGTTCATTTGATAATATATTCTTTAAAAATTTATGCTAGATATCTTAAAACGCTACAAATCGTAAATAAATCAATTCCTAAAACATTTCAACAGAATACTCTAGAACTTTATTTTGCTTAGTCAGCCTATTTTTTTTTTTTTTGAACCAATAGAATTAGTTTGTTTGCAAATTTGACGGGTTTTTAGTGTTCGCGAATATTCTTTTTATTCTTCCGCAAGATGTTCTAAGAACATTCAAGTTAATTATGTTTCCATGTATGTCTGTAAAATAAAAATTGATATATATTTTTTTTTAATTTTTAAGCCCCGCTATAATATATATTGGATGTTATAATAATGGAAATATAAATAATTACCTTAATACCAAAAAATACATTTTTGAAAATCAGAGAAAAAATGTGTTTTTTTTTTTTAATATTTACAAAGTCAATTATTAATAAAAGTGCCTTATTATTTAGGTTAAAAATTAATTTAGCTAATTTTTTGAAAGAAAAACTTATAACAAAAGAAATCAAAATACACGTGGTCTATACGATTATTTAAAAAAAGTTGCGCAAATAAAATACTATTTTGTTTTTTATTTTATTTTTGTTTTTAATTTTATTTTGTTTTTAATTTTGTTTTACAAACACATTTTAGAACTTTAAAATAAAATAAAAATGAATATGATTTGGAAATTGTATGTAAAAAATAACAATTGGTGTTTTAAGCAAACAAAAATCAAATCTCTGACATCATGCACTAAAACTCCTATGAATTAAACGCGCTTGAATAAATTATCAAGTCTGTATAATGCGCCTATAAAATCGCATTTATTTTACATACTCAAAATACCGCAGAAAATGGAGAAGACAAGCTTCGATTAAAACAACAAGATTTGTTTTTCTTGGTATACATTTATTAATTAGTTTTAATCAAAAAAAATTTGCTCAGACGTTTTTGTTTAACATTCTCTTTAATATGAACACAACATGTCTCGGGACTTGGTTGTCCCTTTAAAGAAGGTATCTATCCTTCTTCTCACAACTTAAAACACAAATGCAAACAGGCCACAGTCGGAACTCAAAATAACCTTCACATTACAAAGAGCCAGAGGAATGCTCAACGAAAGTGGTTTATCAGGTTTATTAAGCAGCCTTAATCTAAACAATAGATTAAGGTCATCAGCACCATACAGCAGCCAAATAGATAATAGTAAAATAGGCAATCAAAATAAAGAAAAAAAAATGACAAAAACTTTACAATATGCATTAATTTCATCTAAAGAAAAATATGAAGAACAATACCTGAAATGGGATTCTGTTATTGCAAATGGAATTTTAATTATTAATGAATCTGATAGTGAACAAGTAGTAAGAGAGAAAATTAAAGAGGCATTACATGACAAATTCCCTTTATTGGGTTCAGATGAATTTGATTTAATATATATAAAATATCACAAAAAAAAATATCAAAGTTAAATAAATGCTCAGATAGAGATTACTCTTATTCTGTTGTAAAAAAATTAGCTGGACTTTTATATTTGCAACTAAAACAAGGTTACAATAATGATAGTTTTGAACTACCATTACCGCTATTTACAGCAAACAGCTCACAATTAGGTGGTCAAGAAAAAGTAAATGAAATTAGTTTTGAAAACAATAAAATAGAGGAAATTATTGAACTTCCATTGTCTTCATTTCTAGCAAACAGTCCGCTGTTAGCAGATCAAGAAAAGTTTAATGAAATTTGTTTTGAAAACTATGATACATATGAAATTAAAGAACTTTCGTCAGCTTTATTTATAGCAAACAGTTTAGGATTAGTGGGTAAAGCAGAAGTTATTAAAATTGATTTTGAAAGCATAAAAATTGTTGTGTTTGAATTGTAAGATAAAGGGCTGTCAACATCCACTCCATAGTTATTAAAATCATTTGGATTGTCATCATTTTTATCTCTTGACATAGGATTATCAACATTTATCATCCCCATAGCCCATATTTAATTGTCCAATTTTCTTCTGTAGATAAACTGTGATTATTGTACATAATTTTAAACTCTTTT